AATTTTCCGCCGCTCAGCATTTATTTTGGGGGCATATGCCGTTTTCGCCACCTGCTGTTCTTAGTACATTCCCTTTTTACCGACCTTTTCGGAGTCGTGAACAAATTCGTGTAAAAAATTACGTTTTAAGAACTGATTCTGAAGGAGCTGATCCGAGATCCGCAAACGGTAATATGACTCTCTAAAAAACCTAAGATGAGCATTATTTGCTTACCACATGAAAGTTTTTCTCCAGAAAATGTGTTCTAGAACCGATTCCAGTGGACCTGGAATGAATTCATGATCGTTCTATGATCTCCAAACCTGATATGGATCATATCATCTCCAATCTGCTTATTGATTAGATCATTTCCAATGATTCTGATTAATTAATCATTCATAAATTATGTGAGGCATACGATTGAGATTATTGATTAATGATTAATCTCTAAACAATCGTGTTTAATAAGTATGTAAGTATGTAAGTATGCTTAATTGTATAATTAAGTACTAACGCTCTGATGTGATTATATAAATGTGTCATGTGTTACCAAGGCTGGTAGCGAGTCATTTTTTCAAGTCAGTCACTAAAAATCCTCTTTTTTTTCAATGCCAAGTCACTAAAGTTACTTTTTCTTGTAATAAATAGTGACTTATAGTGGCTTCACTTTTTAAGCGTGAATTTATTTCAAGATTGATTATTCTTTGCGTTGTGTCGTTTAATCGTCTATCTCTATATACAGGATGTCTACTTATTTTTCTGGATAAAATCACCTGAGTTCTCCAAGTAAGTAAGTCCAAAATCTAAAAATATTCAATGTCTTGAAGTTTCGTATTCCATGTACAAGCTCAAGATATTGAAAATATTCAAAGTGCCTGAATTAAGTAAAAAAATAAATGATTTATGTTAGGTTCGTAATTAACTTTATGATTGATTAGAGATCTTCATTGCAGTCCCATTAACTTTACAACAATTGTAGGAACCTTGGAGAAGTTCTGAGGAATGAATGGAAATGCTGAGAATTTCAGTTAAGCTCTATAAACAAACTGCAAGAACATAAGGGGAGCTGAAAATATGGGAAACTTACTGGAAGCTGTAAGAACCTCAAAGCGGTTCTTTTAGCATCCGAGACTTTTCAGGAACTTTTATGAAGTTCCTAGAATTTCAGAAAATTTCAGAGGTGTCAAGCGAACTTGAGAAATTTAGAAAACTTTAGGGGTATTGTGCAAATGTTTAAGAAGTTCTAAGCACCTTAGAAAAGCTAGATAGATTAAAAATCTATAATCGTAAATTTATACAAATTCAAGATAGTTCCATGATGTGCTGAAAAACAAATCGAGAACCCTTAAGATGTTCCGCGAATTTCAGGGAAGTACACAGACCTTCAGAGAGTTTGTGAAAACTTTAGAAATATTTCAGAAAGTTCACAGAAGTTCAGAGAATTTCAGGGAAATTTGAAGGTGTTTACGGGAATTCTATTTATTTTCGAGCAGAACCGAGATCTTCAATAGAACAAAGAGCTTTATAAAGGGTGATACGGTCAAAATTTGGTCAAGGGAAAACGCGTGTAAATCGGTGAAATCGTTTATTTAAAAAATCAAATTAAATTTCTTTTTCAAGTTCAATTAGTATAAAATTCAGGAAAAATATTCAGTTAGGCTTCCGCTTTTCCAAATCCGAATTGCCGGGCCTTACGCTTGACCCCTGCCATCAGATTTTGTACAGCCACCTTGTCCACCTTCTTCGCCGCAGAAAGCCAGTTTGCTTTGAACTGCTGCTCGCCCTTAGCAGTTTTTTGGTCTTCTTTAGGTTCCGCTTGACAATAGCCCAGTATTTCTCAATTGGGCGGAGCTCTGGCATGTTGGGAGGGTTCTTGTCCTTGGGAACCACCTGCACGTTGTTGGCGGCGTACCACTCCATGGCCTTTTTTACCGTAATGGCAAGATGCCAAATCCGGCCAAAACAGTACGGAACAACCGTGTTTCTTCAGGAAAGGCAGCAGACGTTTATTCAAACACTCTTTCACGTAAATTTCGTGGTTGGCAGTCCCGGAAGCTATGAAAATGCTGCTTTTCAAGCCACAGGTACAGATGGCTTGCCAAACCAGATATTTCTTTGCGAACTTTGACAGTTTCATGTGCTTGAAAACATCTGCTACCTTTCCCCTTCCTTTTGCCGTATAAAACTCCTGTCCCGGAAGCTGCTTGTAGTCGGCTTTGACGTAGGTTTCGTCGTCCATTACCACGCAGTCAAACTTCGTCAGCATCGTCATGTACAGCCTCCGGGATCGCGCTTTGGCCGTCGTATTTTGTTTATCATCGCGATTTGGAGTCAGTACCTTCTTGTAAGTCGATAGTCCGGCTCGTTTTTTGGCTCGATGCACGGTTGTAGACGATACACCCAGCTTATTTGCGGCATCTCGGAGAGAGAGGTTAGGGTTTCGCTTGAAACTACCGGCAACTCTCTTTGTCGTCTCAGCGGCTTCCGGTTTTCGATTTCCCCTCGATCCAGACTTCCTGGCTGTCGACAAACGTTCCCCAAACACTTTAATTACATTTGTAACGGTTGATTTGGCAACTTTTAGCGATTTGCCAACTTTGCGTGCGAGTAGCTCGGATTTTCGCGATGCGCGAGCAAAATTTTGATACGCTGCTCTTCTTGCTTGGACGGCATTTTGACAACTGAAGAGTGAATTCCAAAATCAAAATAGGAGCAACATTCTACACACACACACCTTCAAAATGAGGGGTGTTCAGGTTTTTTAAATGCAAAATTGAAAGAAATACGTCAAGTTGATATTGACCAAATTTTGACCGTATCACCCTTTAGAAGCTTCGATAACATCAAGGCAGGTCAGAGAATAAAAGAGAAACTCAGTGAATTTCCAAAAACTTCAGCAAAGCTCCGAGAGAAATCATGGAAGTTTTATGAACATCCGGAAAACGTGAGAGTATTTTAAGGGTGTTATGCGGAAATTAAGCTAACTTGATAAGAGAACATCAACGAAGTTACATTAATAACAAAAAGCGAGAACTTTTAGCATGGCAGCGATATGTTTAAGAAATTCCAGAGAACTAAATTTAGATATTTTTATATAGTTTAATGATATTCAGCGAAGCTCCGAGTACTTCGAGGACGATCAGAAGGTTTCAGAATAATCCCATTAACTTAAGCAAATTTGCAGCGACTTATATATGTATAAAAAAAATTCTGAATTATTAAACAAATTTAGAGAATTTCAGGTGAGCATAGATAAGTTCAGTGAAAAGCGAGTGTTGAAATTTGTTATAATACTTGAGTTACATTTTCGAAACTTCAAGGAAAACTCATTATATTCAGTAAAGTTGCTGGTTCTTAAAACTACTGATAACTTCAGGGTAGTCTAGAGAACTTTTAAGAAATTCAGTAATCGTTTAGGCACCAGGAAAGTTTAGACGATTGAAGAAGTTTTAAATTAGTGCCAATAATTTAAGGGAAAGTTTTATGAACTTCAGAAAAATCTTGAGAACTTCAGTGAAAATCATAGAACTATATTAATTATTTCGTTCTAATTCCATGACAATTGAGGGAGCATAAAAGTTCAATAAATGGAGAAAAACTTCGGAAACTTCACAGAAGGACAGTATATTAATTATTTAGTCTTCAGAAACCAAAAAATATATATATTTTTTAAAATTTATTTCTTACTGAAGATTAATTCACTGTGAATCTTTAAAATTCAAAGTGTGAATGAAAATAACGTTAAAAATTAAATGGCTGTATTTTAAAATTCATTATTAGTAAGAAATTTTTTAAATTCTTTGAGACTTCTAGGTATTTTAAGGAAACAAATTTTTTCTGAGTATTCCCGTTTTTCCAGATTTTTGAAGTTAGTAGACATCGTGACTAATACCGTGTGTTTGGTTATACACTTTCTATTGAATCTTTCGTTTTAAAGGTTCATATCGTACATAAGTGTTTATGAGATAATAGTTGAATAAGTCTGAAACATCACACATTTATTTGATGCGCCTTCTCTTAGGTCACTTTTTAGTCACTATTTTTACAACTATAAGTCACTATTTGGTCACTTATTTATTCAACATGGTCACTAAAATCACTATTTCTGACAGCAGTGATCACTACCAGCCCTGTGTGTTGTTTTGTTAGAGATTTATTAATAATATTCCAATTAATATGATATTTTGTAAGTTACGTTTTTCTATTTATTTATATCCTGGTTCAACAGAATTAAGAAGTTTGGAAACTTCGAAAACATTTTGTTGACCATTACTCGCTTTAGCATTAACCTGAGTCATCGACCCTCAAAGCAATGTCCAAACAAAGCGTGTTCTGTTAATTGACTCCTTTATAGCCCGGAATAAAAATCCTTCCAAATGAGCAAGCAATCAATCATCATTCCCGGGTACTTTTAGACCGAAAAATAACTTTACAGCGAATTCAAATCTGTTTAGGCAGGCAGAAAAAATACAATCTTCAGCCAAGTCCAAGCTCCAAGCTGGCCAAACAACGACCGACGACGGTCACATTAAATTAGTGCCACAATATTCCATCCACTTCCTTAAATAGCAAAACAAATGGATTCTCGAAAAAAAAAATCGTTATGAAGAAACCCCCACGCCATCTTGTTTCTTATTTAGGAAAACAGCTGCCAACCAAGCACGGCGAGCTACGGCTTCAACTGTTGCTTTCCACCAAACTTCCCAAAGACAGCCGACGCCATCTCGACGGTTGAATCTCTTTGGTCAATCAACTCAATGCCAAAACCTGTCCAATTTCACAAATCCTTTTGGTCGTTACACACTTACACTCATGGACCTCGGAAAGCACGGCCAGCGGAAGTCTCAACTTACTCTGTCATGACCGGGGCTGCCAAGAATAGAACCACACGTCATCCCAAATCGCCTGGCAGAAAAGTGATACTTTTTGTCATCGTCGTCATATACTTCTCTGCAACGCAACAACAGTGTATTCGACATTATTCAACTTTTTCCCCCTTGTTTGTGTTTTTCAATTCCAGGCGAATCACCGTCCAAGCGACTGCTTTTCGATTATCCGAGTCCATATTTGTATGGTAATTATCATCCGTCGCCGAGTGACGATCTGGTCGCTTTATGGTTTGGAAGTAACGGAACAGGTTAGTGTGCTAAAATTGTTGGTGTTTTTGAATAGCATATAGCAGCAGAACCTCACCGCAGACGCCATTTTGTGTTTTACGATCGCCGCAGCCAGTGGGGAGGGGAAAACATTAGCCTTGAGCTCAGAAGACCGCGATTATCAAGTACCACCCTCCCGAGTTCGAACGTTCGGTTGGGGTTCGAGCTCATGGGCGTTTTACGACGCTCGTTGATGGTTGCGAAATGGTGATTGTTGGATTGTTTTGTAAACGGTTTACGATTATTATCAATTCAGGGAAGTGTTTGTTGCTTTGCAGATCGTCAAGACGAGTACAACAAGAAATTCGAGAAGTAAAATCTCAATCATTTGCATTTGCTCATTTGTTTCCGCAAAAGTAAAAGAACGCTGGTAAAGATTCTGCAGAAATTTGACTTTATTTAGAATCATTATTACCTGTTGTTTTCATATCACCTGCATTCCTCTAACAGGAGAATTCAGCGGCGTAGATTCCATGTAGTTTCCCTTCCAGTTTGCGTCTAACATGATTAATTTTAATTAGTTTCGCATATCAACACATCGTCTGGAGTAAACCTATCTGAGCAATCTCGGGAGATATGACAAATTTACTCTTCACTAGAATTTATTAGAAAATTCCGCAGCTCATCAGGCGCTCGGACACTCTGAACCAGCTCATATTCCGGACCAAACTGTTACCCCTTCAATGCAAACAAGCTAATAAACAACGCAATTTAGTCTGCAACGCAAAATAAACGACATTTCTTCTCCTTTTCATTGTCATTAGACTGACGGTTATGCGCCATCGTTTGGAAGAAAATAGCGGGAAAAGTCTGTTCCCGCCAGTTTTTCCGTACCATAACAAACTACCAGACCGCCAAGAACACAAACTGTGTCTAGAGCTACTCGACTCCTGTTTATGTTTTGCTACACGATGAATGAAATATCACCGCCTTCGAACAAACGTCCGTCCGTTCGTGGTGTACTCCGGCGGTGGCGTACGATGATGTTCATACGCTCGTACAAGTCGTCCTGCGTTGGCGGTCCTCGTATGGTACTCTACTCTATACCCATAGTCTGCTGCAGTCTGGAGTAGGAATCACGCGTGCCACACTAGCTATGAAGGCGGGAAAATTGCTTCTTGCAAACTGCAACCGCGCCAGTTAACAGTAGCATAAGTGCGGTTGTTTTCACTCGAACGAAAACGACGACACGGTGACGATGAAGATGATGGGTCGAGGATCATAATAAACATCGTTCGAGCGCGCCAAAGGTGTACGGGAACATGCAGTGTGCATTCCAGAAGTAGACACATGACTATGATGCGGGAAAGTTTAACACGGGAAAACTTGATCCTGTTTGAGTGGTAACACAAGGAGCGTTCTATTTCAGCTCACCCTTGTGGGAGAAACTACAAGATAGATTAGAAATATGTTGCCGTAGTTTCTTCTTTAGCGGTTTTCGAATTAAGATATAAAACTGGAAACCACGTGTCGTCCAATTTGAATATTCTTTTTCCACGGTCAACAACATTTACAGTCGACAAAAACCAAGCACTTAGATTTCAAAGTTCAAACCCTCTCGAGCCCACGTAGTCCTATATGACCATGCTCTATGATAGGTTACATAAAATCAAAAGTGAATGATAGCTACATGCTTTCTTCAGCAAAATTGTAGCACAGGAAATCTATTTGAGCATAAGATTATAGCCATATTCAACCTTGAATCTGGACCAGGCTTCAAAATTATCCGGATAGACCTATCCAGTGGATAGAAATAAACGGTGTCTATCTTGTTTTCCCTCCGGATACTATCCATCACAGCAAAAAAAAAAAAAAAAGGTCATCGTTTTTTTTTTGACGTAGGACTCAGCTGCCCCTGGTCCAATTTCAGTAACTTTATCACCAATCGATCAGAAATATGGCTACGCAACAATGCTTCCGAATGTTGATTTTCAACAAGAAACTATTGAAAAACTGGTAAATGTCCAGCATTGTCCAAAAGCTTCGAATTAACTAACAAATCCACCAATTACCTACATGCATATGCTGCTTCCCCAGCACAGTCGTCAGAGATTAGTAAGTAGACGAAACAAGTCGAAGTGGCATTCACCTCCGATCCTCGGGCGCTCCCTATTTGGATGGAATTGCGTAATATTTTGCACACTCATCGTTTATTCAGAACCAAACGCAAATTCTTCGAGATAACCACCATCCGTCGTCTGGCTCGCCGTGGCGGTGTCTGACGTATCTCCGGTCTGATTTACGAGGTGTTCCTGAAAAATAAGATCCGTGATGCTGTCACCTACACTAAACACGCCAAGCGTAAGCGGCCATGGATGTCATCTACGTTTTGAAGTGACAGAGACGCACTCTGTTTGGTTTCGGAGGTTAAATCATCACCAACTTTGGCAACAAAACGGCTCTTTTCGGGGCCACCAAGCTTATTACAGTAAAGAGTAGGAATAGAATTTCTCTGCCTGTTTGTCCATATTCAGAACCAACAACCACACAAAGTCCTCATGTAATCAAACTGGAAGCAGGGGTACAAATTATTTTGATCAACCTTGATCAACTTTGAATCGCCACGGTCGGATATTTTCGATGGAAGAAGCAACAATCCAGCATCTAATTCGACGAAGACGGCAGGAAACATTTGTGAAGCCGAGTTATTTACGAAAGAGAGTGTCGATGAAGAGAATCGATCAATGTAGATGGGACCTATTGAAAAGTAACGCGAGATTTGTTTTCCGTACTGAGCTCCAATGCTACCGACGCCAGGGAGGCAGCTCCCACACCTGGACCCTACCAATCGACCCATCAACTCAACCGGGGATCAACGGCTTCACTTCCCGAAGGAAGGCGTGATCAGAGATGTTATGCCTTAGAAAATGCCGGTGGCGCCGACTGAGATTGGACTCAGGCCTGCTGGGGTGAGAGGTAATCACGCTAACCACCGGCGCCGATATCTTTCAAGGTGATATCACGGCGAATGAGATCGACCCAAATTTGAGTTTAGTTATCTCAGAAATAAGAAATAAAGTGCAGGAACTCAGCGATGAGTAAATTTGCTTCATGTTTTCCCAGGTTTTTCCAAGATTTTCCAGGGAAAAATTCCCGAATTTGAGAAAAGTAAAGATTGGATTCACTCAGTATATTGGTACCACTCCGAGACTGAATAAAATTTTCGTCAATTTCCTCATTTTCTGGCAGATTTTTAAGGTTTTCCACAGGAAACCATGAGACAAATTTACTCATCGCTGAGTTCCTGCACTTTTAGCGATTATGAGTGAACTAAACTCAAATTTGGTTCTTTCTCATTCGCCGTGTACGCAAAAGGAAAAGAGCCAGTGTCGCTACTTGATAGCAAACTACTCATAATTGGAGGAGTCTTTGTAGCTGTTATACCAATGCAACCAATCATTCTACTTTAACCTGAAAAGATATAAAAGAGCGCTGATGTATGGCATTAGCTCATTTTCGCTTCGGACGGCGTGGTGAACAGCAATAGCAGCAGTAGGAAGGTGGTGGCTAGTCCACTCCTTCACACCCAACAAGCAACAATTGACTGGTCGTGGCAAAGGACGAAAAGGTCTGGTAAAGGAGGCGCCAAGCGTAATCGCAAAGTTCTTCGAGATAACCGCCATCGGTCGTCTGGCTCGCCGTGGTGGTGTCAAATGTATCTCCGGTCTGATCTATGAGGTGTGCTGAAGGTGTTCCTGGAAAATGAGGTCCGTGATGCTGTAACCTGCACTAAACACGCCAAGCGTAAGTGGCCATGGATGTCCTTTTCAATAAAACGGCCCTTTTCAGGGCCATCAAGCTTACATCAGTAAAGATTTGGAATAGAATTTATCTGTGCTTATTTGTCCATATTCAGAACCACAAGCCCTCAACGACCACACAAAATGCTCTCCAGAGTTGTAATCTTGTAACCAAACTTGGAAGCAGGGGTGCAAGTGATTTTGATTTCTCTTTGAAAAAGATTACTAAAAATGTGGTACGCCTACAATTCAAAAACGGAAAGAGTTGAAATAATAGATAATTGATAAATTAAAAGAACTAAATGCTCTTTTATATTTATTCCGTACACTAGTGGTCCTACGTCAAGCTTCCGTTCGTGCCCCTAGGCACAGACCCTTCTACTTTTTTCTCTGCTTACTCCGTTTACTCCCTTTAAGAATATGCTTCTCATATTAGACGTCAGTTTTGTTTGTAAACAAAGTAAGCCCAAGTGTATCCTGAGGCTTTCGAATAGCTTGAATATTATGGAAGAACCTATGCCGGTGCCAGGTTACTACTAGCTAGAACTTACAGTTCCTGCCAGCTTTAGGCAGTTGTTCTTCCTCCTCAGCAGCCAGTCCCAGTTGTCACTGATCAAACAAGCTCTCCAAACAACTATTCTTATAAACATCTGGAGTTCCAGCTATAATGCAACGATCCCATCAGCCTCGATTGATCCAGTAACCGTAACAGCAGTCCCATTGAAAGTGGTAATAACTAGCTCCGATCTCTTTCTCGTTAGCACCATGCAAGTTAGCTACAGCGTGAAGATTCCATCACAGCACATCAAACATAGCGTGGTGAGCAATATTCCAACCGTGGCCCCTCCAATAAAATCCACCGCTGCAGTTTACGATTTAGAAAACATCTCCCCGGTGGGGCAATAACCGATTCACACCCAATTCCAGCTCCGATGGCAACGCTACCAACCATGCACCATTTTTATCCGTGAGTAACTTTTTTATCCGTGGATAAAAATTGATGAAAATTTGGGTATAAATAGTTTGCAGTAAATTGTTTACATCTGCAAAATTTCATAACAATCGGTTCAGTGGTTATTGAGATGTCATCGAAACAAGAAGAAAATCGCAGGAAAATTTTGCGCGCCGTCATGGAAAATCCGACTTCGACCATGAGATGGATCGGAAGACAACTGGGAATCACCCATACAACTGTGTCTCGGGTGGTAAAATCGTTTAAGGAGTCCCAGACGACCGAGCGG